TCCTCCCAGCCAGTGCCATGGCTCATGGGATTCCCCAGGTCTGAAAAATTTATGCGTACGGTGAGGCCAACTTTTCTGCAAGCAAAGGGGCGGGCTTGCACCTGGCCCCAGAGCAGCCAGAAGTGTGCCCCTTGACGAACTCGCTTCTGTGTGACTGTGAGGCATACCTCAGACTTTTCATACTTGTGCGGGAGCGCGGCGAGGGGGGGGGTGGGGGAGCTTGGTCCATACGCACTTGCCCAAGGAGGAGATGCTGTTGCCTTGATTGTCAGCAGACTTGTGGCTCATCTGAGACCGGGAGGGGCGCGGGAGGGGGAGCTTAACTCACTGGCCCCACTACTCAGCAGTGGGCAAGATGAATTGGCACGAGCAGGGGCAAAGGGGGCAACATGAAATACCTCCTCTGGAAAAGCCGGTGGCACAAATTGAACCAAAGTAACCGTTCAGGGCAAAAATGGGGAACAGCTTTTACAAACAACCTTGTATGAGTCTTTTTGATAAGCTCCTCTTTTTGCCTCTGCAAAGACTTGAAGCTGTTCCCGGGGCCACTGATTCCCCTATTAAGCTAGAACATACAAAGGATTACTCATTGTTTTCGTTTTGTTTGCTCTTGTGCTGTATTTCTAGAGATGTGTGCGTGCGAGCATGCGTGCGGGCTTGCGGGCGAGCGTGTCGCCTCATTTGTTGTGGTTGGTTTATCGTTGTTTCCTCCTTGTTTATGGCTTTCTTTGTCGTTTTTGGTTTTCTTCGTTTGTTTGTCGTTGCACAAGCCCAGATGCGGGTACTTGTGGGTAACCAGTAGTAGGTAGTGGGGAGCAGTTGCGCGGCTCCCCTTCAATCATGGACGATCCCAAATTTTGCTGCAGACATTCCAACCAGCTTTGCACACATCTCTGCAGCGAACTACCAGGCGACAATCCCAAAACATGACAGCCTCTTGGTCAAAGTCTTTTTTGGCCTGGTGTCAGCGCCCTCAAGACCTCTCGAGTTCCAGGTGGTTTTCGACGTTGACTTGATGCCACTTCCAAACTCAAGAAGCGCTATGACAACTCCCACAACATCTTAAAAACCCGCGCCACGTCAGCAAAACAACAACATCTCCCGCGACCACAGCACCTCTTCAAAGCCATTCCACAGCTAGAAGACCTGGACAATCGAGCCTGCGTTTCACATGTTTTTTCGCGGCCTGATGCTGCAAAGGATTCAATCAGCTCGTTGTTCTCTTCACCCAAAAGCTCCGAGAGCACCTTGTGGGGAGCGCTTGGGTGTTTACAGTATGCACGGCAAATGTAGACTGAAGGGGGGCCTTCCGGCCTTGAGGAGTGCGCGAGAGCTGAGCAAAAGCAGCAATCTCTGAACCCAAAGGGCATCCCGATGTACGACTTTGACGAACAGTCGGCATATCGGCATACAGTTGATCTGCTTCGATCTCTGGTTCCGGGTTTACTATGTTTTCATTAATGGACGAGCGAAATCTTAACTCCTACGCCACAGCTCTGCCACTATGCTTCCAACATAGAGCTTCAAGAGAATGTGTTTGCAATTGCGTCTAGAAAGTGCCACGTAATGGCACCTGCCGGTGCCTTCAGCGAACTCCCCCCTCCTGCCGCTTTTTGGCCGACTACTGTAGACAATTCCTAGCAAGCATCACCTCCTTGCAGAGCGCTATAGAATGCAGAAGAAATGCAAGTGCAGTGTTGCGCACACGAGACATGAAGCGTCTTCAGGGCCCGTGCGCCCATGTTGTCGAGCGTAGTCACGCCTTCATCATCCTGCGACAGTGTCCGGATGATCTGGAAGTCATCTACTGGAGCGATGCTATGTGGAAGTGTCAAGCAACCATTGGGATGGCACATGCTTCTCATGTCAGCAACTTTCTCGTCAGAGTTGCGCGGGCCAACCTTCAAAGGCCTGCTGTGAAGGGGACATGCGCAGCAACATGTAGATCCTAACCCTGTGCTTGGACTCGAACTTAGGCTTGATAGTTGTCCTAAAGCCGCACGCATCTTCGACGAGTCCTCGTCGGCATCCCCACCTTCCTGCCAAAGACGGAGCACCGATCGAGCTGCATCTGGCTTTTGAGCACCTCTACATCCCTGAAGCAAGAATATTAAGAATATCTCGACTTCACAGGAGACCACCCCGTAAAGCACAGCTGCAAGCTGCACCCCTCGCGCAGCGTCAGCAACCTCCGCAGCTGCAATACACCCCCCTGGCCAGGCCTTCAGGGCCGTGATTGCACTGTCAAAGGCTGCTTTGCGACCGCCTAGGCAAAGGCTTCGCGTATCGGTCCGAGATCTCAGTTATAGCCTTCAGCTTTGGATCGAGAGGGTGCCGACCACTAAGTGGGAAATGTCACCGATGCCCGAAGAAACGTTCAAGGAGCCCTACCAGCACCAGTTGCAGGCTCGTCTTCCTCGTCGTCCTCCTCCAAGGCCCGGGCTCTGGCATGCCTATCCCAGAACATGCTGTCATGCGTCGGGCCTACATTCGCTCAGCTTGCGGCGGTCTAATCTGGCAAGCTGCTCCGAACGTATTCAGATACGGTCAGCCCGTCGTCAGATGATCCTCCCCCTCCATCGGCTCATTCTCTGGCGAGGACCCGCAAACCTCGGTTAACATAAGAGTCTTGCTAAACAACGAGTCCCGCTTTCAGATATGGTCCTGTGTCGTCCTTCCTGCTTGACGGAGCCATTCTGCAAGGCAATCATGGGCGCCAAAACTCTCCAAGAACCTGTTTCTAATAGCACAAATACTGTTTCTAGTAGTGCGAGACCAGAAATGCCACCGTGATAGCAGCAGGGGACCATCACCATATTATCCCAGATTAAACTGAGCCACTTCTTGCTCCAACATATTCAGGCAAGTCAGCAAATTATCATGCAGCCTCCGGCTCACTAGGTTCGAGTTTTGCCGAACGACGCCTTATGCCCTAAGCTAGCTGCATAGCCGTAAGAGTCCTCAAATGTGCTCAGCAACAGCAGTTAGCAAGAACAATGTGTGTGGAAGATCCTGGCTAGCATATTCTCTCAGCTCCAAGCAGAACCACACAAGCTGGTGAGCGTGTCATCCTGGAAGTGGGCTTCACTTCTGTGGGGGGGGCCCTTCACAAAATACACAATAAGCTTCTGCATATGGAGTCTTCTTGCTAGCAAAGAGTGTGAAGCCGTGCATTTGGTGAGGATTTCGCTCTCTGTGCTTTCGGTTCATTCCTCGTGGCTTCGGGTCATGTCGGGGGCTGCTTGGGACATGGCTTCTCCCCTATCCGCCCTGTCCCCAGAGCCTCTGTGTATCTCTGAGACTCTCTCAGGTTCAAGGTGGAACCCAGGCTGTCGGCGATTCCGCGCCAATACACGGAGACGAAAACAGGTTCAACACGGTCAACCCAAATGCAGAGCGCGTGTCGGACGAGAAGTACCCAAGCTCGCGCCACGCCATTCGGGCAGCCTGGCTGGGACTTGCAGACCTAGACTTGCACAAGTGCAAAGTTGAGGGTTCGTGCGCTTGCCCGTCGCCCTCTCAAATGTTTTCGCTTTGCCTCCCGCACAAGGGCTGGGGAGTCTTGCACGAAAAGCTCTGCGGCAACCTCGCAAGCAAACGGCGTTATTCAAACGAATGCTCGCATGGGTCTGTTGCGAGTATAAAGCCCACAAGATGCACAAAGCACAAGCCGTGCCTTCCGAACTCCTGCAAATTAGTTGAATGTTTATCCTTGGACCAAATTCCTGGGAGATGCTAAGGTTGCTTGTTGAGCTCTGCTAAGAGATGAGGCCCTTGCAGGCGCAATGAATGCAAGGCTCTCAGCAAGCTTCTTCCTCGGATGTTGGCACAAGTAGTTGATGTAGGAATGGCTTGATCCAGAGTTGCACATGGTCAGGCGTTTGGCATTCCTGGCACCCCCTTCATGTTATCGTCTGGGGTAGAGAGACTTGGATTCAAGACGCCGGCAAACAGAATTGGCAACAAAGCAACCAACAAAAGCAAATGAACGTTCACCATTTACCATGACAGAAAAACATGCGATTCAAAAATTCAGTACTTCCAACTTCCGAATTGTATCTTTTCATGTTGCTAGGAGAAAATATTTCGGCTGAAAACTAATCTTCGGGAACGTTCTGCTTGGTGCTTTCACAAGTGTTGGGCGTGGGAGCGTCCCAAGCTATGGGGCCGTCATGGCGAGGGCCAGGGGGCACGTGACCACGTATACAGTTTCCAGCGACTGTTCAAAGGCAATGTCGCTGCTTGCTTTCGTAATATGCCACGCGTGATGATCAAGTGTGACTCATCACCGAACTCTCATGTCAGACAAGGGTGGAAACATCATGTGCACCCGTACGTCTTGGGCTCGACACTTCGTCTTGTTGGTGGTCTTAGCCTTGTGCTGGGCACGTGAGCAGACATCGCATGTAGCTGCACATGCACACACCAGAGCAGCAGCTGCGACACGCAACGTGCCTACGAAGTATTGGCCCTCGTTCCGCCAAGGTCGCTGCAACTCGTGCGATCTCCTCGACGATGTCCAGCAACTGGCAGCACTTTTGTTCCGAGACTCCATCTCGCAGCGCGGACGCTCATCTTGAAGTGTTTCATCGCATCCTGCCTCGGCCAGCGTCTCTTTGGCCTGAGTAGGCAGCACCGACGGGTTGGCACACTGGCCCCGAGATGGCTTGGGCGTTTGCTTTGTCTTCTGAGGCACTTGCAGAATCGCGGCCAGACATGCTCTCCTCAATAAGGGTAAGCGACAAGGACCTGCAATTTCAACCATGAAAAAGGCTCACTTAGAAAGAGCGCTGCAGCATCTGGTCCATTTCCCACTGGGTACACACATGCAAAGTCGCAACTGCTGCGCTGCTTTTTGCATACATCTCCAAGCTATCGGTATATCTGTGCGAATGGTTCGTCGGCTCGGAATTCACATGCAGGGTGAGCAACTTCATTATCAATACCAATACAAGGACTGGTGCCTCAATCTAGCTCATGCCAGGGCTAAAGCCAGAATCTCAATCATACGGTGAGATGCCGTGGACGTGGATATCCATGACTGCACACATCGCACGCGCGAAGTAGATGAATATTGAAACCAAGTATACGAAGAAACCTGCCATCTGCCATCGTCGCTGGCGGCCATACACCTCTGGCTTGAAGACATCTTTCCTTGCTTGCTCAAACCCCCCCAAAAAGATATTTTTCTCACAAGTCACAAAACAACCTTTAACATGTGCAGGCGGTAAGCCACGCTCAAACCAAGTCCCAGTTTCTCGTCAATCTGGTTCCCTCCGGATACGCCTCGCAAGACCTTCACCGCTGCCCATATAAGCTGGATAGGCGACAGCCACCAGTTTGCCACGAATGGCAGAACTGCGAAGGCATTCAACATGACGAACGCGAGCTCCACTCTATGCGCTTGGTTGTAGACCTTGAAGAAGTCCACAGAGTTAATCAGATCCTGGATGGAACAGAACAACATCAATGAAGCAGTCGCAAGCAGTCGCAAGATTCGAAATTTGCTACTATACGTGTGCAGCAAGCCCTATCCCGACTGAGGGGGTGTCGTACTCCAAGTCTGCAATGGCCTTCAGAGAGTACGCGCTTGATCCTAGAAGGCCGGTCATTGCGAATAGCAGCGTCATCGAGTCGATGGTCGCGAAAACAGTGAAGAAAACCATGGCTTTGACAATGGCTGCGCAGGATGCAATCGCCCTATCCTCGGAGCCCTTCGACCTTCCCTGGAGCCAAACAACAAAGCTGACAAAGCTCACACATGGCAAAGCTTGTCATGAAGTCACATTCTTTCAAGCTAACGGGCACTGGGCTTCTGGCAAAGGAAGACTACAAATTGCATTCTTCTGCCTGCGCATGTCTGGAATTTGGTGGGGGTGCACGGTTGCGGCATGCACATGCACACTGTAGTTATGTACTTCTATATACAATAGTTTTAGAATCATGTGCTAGGTTGCATGCTTTGCTCATGATGTATTTGTGGAGGCGCGGCGTGCGGCGGGGGCGGGGTGGGACGACTGGCTGGAAGGGCGTGGACCTCAGAAATCAGAAGAGACCTTAATAAGTCAGCAAGCAGCAAGGACTGAGTCAGAAAACGACACAGCACGAGTCAGAAAACCGCGCCGCGAGCCCCTTCCAGGATGCCGTTCCATGTCAATGCGACAACACCCGATTGTCCCACAACCTACACGTGACACTTCGATGTCTCGGAACCCTTCGGTCCCATTAAAGTCTAAACGGTCCCATCCCACGTAGGGGACCAATGAATGCCGGTAGGTCTTGCAACCAAGGCTCAGGGTTCTACGCGTCTCTTCTAAGTTGTCATTTGTGTTTTTCCGATTTGGGTTGAGGGCGCTTTTTTCCGACGCAGGGCTTCTTCGTTTCGCAAGCTGGGATGTAGACATGATGCATCCGGCTGTTTATGGAGCTTCGGACAATGGCCTGGCAGAAAGTCCTCCTCGGCCTTCCGCGAGCTCCGTGATGGCTTTGCCTTCAGCAGCTGGGAGAACGCTTGACATTTGCCTCGGAACGCCTCGATGTTGTTAAAACATCTGAGTTCAGGACAACTCTCAACGGCACGGTTGCGGAGTGCGACTTCCTCCTCCTGTGTTGCTGACACTTCCTTGCTGACACTTCCCTGTTCAAGCAACCTCCTTAGCCAAAAGCAATCAATGGTCGGACCCTTAACTAATGCACGGAGGCTCGAGCCATCCTCTTTGCCAGTTTACATACATTTGAGGTCATGTGGTCGGCACCGAACCCTTGGAATCTCGAAACCTGACCTGCCTGGTGTAGCTACAGACGAACTGCTGCGATGGCCCAAGGTCCTTCAAATCCACTAGGCAGTGAAGGCAGCCTGGCATGGCTGAGCGCGCTGAAGCCCATAGCCACCACAAGCACAAACAAAGACGGAGGCGAACACATACACATCGTCACTATTCGTCACTGATCACATAACGGGCCTCATCAAGAATATGCGTTGTGCACTGTCTGTTGGCGCCAGCCAAAACATCTGCTTAGTCACATCTCACGGTGCGTGGTGTTACGTTGCCTGTCGAGAGTCGCAACTACCGCGGCTTCCGTCTGTGCCCGGGCCGTTCTACAACATGTTCGCTTTTTCGGTTGATCTTCCTGGCAGGCTACCTTGAATCATGCAGTTGGAAGCCATTTTGCCTCCAAGCAACCATCTCACGGGCACCCCACGCAACCGATAAGTGCACCCGGGTCCCGGCCCCCCCTCCCCCCCTCACCCCCCCCCCCACCTCCCCTCCACCCTCCCCCCTCCCCCCCGAAATCCCCCGGGGCGTCTAGTTCACATGCGTCCATGAATACCGCACAGGTTCTTCAACCAAAGACTTCTGCTCGGCTGCAAGTACCTCTTCAAATCCTGGAAAGTGCAAGCGCAGGCCTGTCTTAGGCTTCTTCTTCCTGGCCGTTGGCGAGGATAAGACCTTTGAGATGCAAACTCGACGTGATACATGGAGATGTCATGATGTCCGC